TCTACACCTGAACTCGCTTGAGTCATCACAGCAGACATCAACAACTGTCGTCTTCTTAAATTCCTCGTGTCGACTTATAACGCTGACATTTAACTAAAGAGCATAATAAACAACTGAATTTTAACACTGCCATTGACTTATATGGCGTACTCATGTTTCCAATATGGCGCTTTTAACGATACTCGAAGCAAATAAAAAGAAGCCCAAGTAGCAAAATCATAGGCTACTCATGTTATGCCGCTACGAAAAGTTACTCTATACAAACAGGACTCTAGGATAAAATACCTCTGTCTTTGCCTCCTGAACTATACCCTACACAGGTTGGCATAAAAATGCGCTTCTTTGAAGATACATATACCATTAATCATACACAGAACCTACATGAAAGCAGCGCGACATTGGGAGAGGAGTTTACACCACTTACATGCAACTGGATAGTACTGGAAACTTACAGATATTTTTAGTCAAAACGAAAAAATAAATATTATATAGCTTTTTTTTTTTACCTCGTCAGGTCAACAGGAACGCTTTTACCCTACTTGCTACTTTTGGGTCCGTCATCTCTCCCAGAGGAACATATTCAGCTCATGCTGTATGTAACTATATGAAGCGGTTTTGTCACGTATAGACGTGACAAAACCGGTATATATGAAATAAAAGTGACTGATGCCAAGTTAACGATTTCCTTTCTACAACACCTAAATTTTGTTGAGAATATCCTCGTAAATATAATTTTTCTCTTATTATTGAGATGGTTTCGTCAGCTTCAAAAGTTAGTTATTCGCGAACATCTATATAATACATTATGTAAGTATGCGCGAGTAAGGAAGTTGTGGGAACTCCATGATCGCAATCATTTGTCACAGAAGTTGCCCATTGTTGACTGATTGAATGCTTTAACTTAATACTAGAGACACTACTTTCTAGCAATTAACACAACAACAAACTACTGCGACTATACTTTGTCGTTGTGTACCATCTGCAATGGTCCGCAACAGCTAATGAGAATTTAAACAAGTTTAGGCGAATGCAAAACGCGCCACCTGCAAAAATTAGACAGAGTTTCGTAAGTTGAAGTTGGACAAGCCCTTATATGGGATCGGAACTTGAGTTGAATCATAGCTAAAATACCGAATTGAAACGAACTGGCTGTAGGTACTGCGGACCCAATTTGAAATTCAGTCCTGGCAGATGTGATCCTTATCATGTACTAGTTAGGAATTTAAGCGCGGCCGCTTTATAACGTGAAGCTTATACGAGAGCAATCAGGTGGCGCACTTACAACTAGTGCTATATCGAGGTGGGACGCAAAGCGTAAAAATATAGGCACCGACCAACATCCATCCGCCGTAGTGACTCTGCTGCATATATGTGGTAATAGCTATAGGCCATATTTAGCCATATTGCGGAAGTACTAGAATTAAGCCCTTCGGCGGCTGTCTCAGAAGATGGCTGACGGTAACTGTTAGTTGACACTTGGACCAGCTGTGTTTGACAGACAGATTCATATAATGGTAACATTTGGGAAAAAAGTCCACACTGTTTTAGGACGATGTATTTACGGCGCTCATGTTGTCGCTAGTACGACAACATTCAATTAGTAGAGTACTAGCCAGCAATTTTTATGCCCAGAATCGTTTCCTATATTGAAATAATCTCATGGGCCGATAGGGATCGCACTTCATTTGAAACGAAGGACGGTTTTTTTTTAAAGTATCTTATGTAAGCTAATTACGATGCATTCCGAAAGTGTAGCATTATTTTTTTTATTAGCCATAGTGCTTACTAATTTGCTTTGTTTCTATATATATAAATAAGAATAATTGTAAACTGTGCTGAAGGAAACATTTTACGCTTATTAACATATAGAAATAATTTATTTTGGCTTTTGTGTACCATGATTTCCTATTGCCTATTGCTATAAGAACCTAAATTGTAATTGAGGTATCTAAAGATGACTTTCTTATCCACATGTTGTATCTTTTTCGTTTTTTAATTCTGATTTAGTTTGCTCGTAAGAAGGTTGTAATTTTCAGATGTGAGCATGTTACTCCTAGGACATTTCGAACCTCCAGTCTGTGACCATCTGTAAGCACAGGTTGCAACGCTTCTTGATATTGCTTGTCATAAAAACGGTAGAATGCATTCGCTTTCTCGTCGGTCCCAGTAATCGCCTTAATGTGCCGTACGAAACCTTCAATGAAACGTCCTATCCACTTCCAACATTTCTAATACAATTGGTACAAAATGGTTCTAATTCTTAAAGTTAACGTGTTTCTGTTTTTTTTTAGGGCCTGCGTTTTTCATCATTTACACAGATGGCGCTGTCCTGTTTAACTGTGTTATGCCACGGGTATGATGCAAATGCTTTACGGGTTAGAGCATTTCCCATTTGGCCTAATTACACTTACAAATTTAAGCCTTCTGAGTTCAAGTGATATGTTCGCCTACCTGAGCCTTTTGTGAAATTCAAATGGTTTAATTTTCTGCCATATCCGTTACGGCTATCTGACCTGAACGTGTTATTCGATTATTTCCAAACACGTATTGTATTTTCTTTGCGTCCTGCTAACGACAACAACGGCTTTAGATGTTTATCTTACTGCTCATTACCGGAATGACAAGTCATAGGCCCTGAAAGTTCTTTTATAAGGGTCTCTAATTCTTAGGATAGACTTGATGGCCCTTATTGCAATGAAGAGACGGGTATCCGTCATTGCTATCGGCATATTTTCACATCTTCTCTGCATCCGCGCATTCGACTAAACATTCTACCTAGTAAAGAAAGATGCTCTGATAGTAGTAACATCGGATTTTCTCCCCCGTCTTGCGCCGAAATACTTGCCTCAGACCTTGAAAATACTCCTGTACTACGAAGTGCCGTCAAAAAAAAATCGTATTCAGCACAGCGTGTCCTACTATTCTACCTAGAATTCTGGAGTGCTCATTGGATGTAAACTGTCACGGATCATCGCAAAGGCGTCGCAAAGAACACGTTTAACAGGCTCAAATAATGGCCTGTTTGACTTTCCTTCGGGAATTGAGCCGGGATAGGCATTAAGAGTATACTACTAGCTTACATGCTTCTTCAGGCGAAAGGGATCTATTGGATTCTACATGTCTGCGGTGCTGTGCGCCTTCGGTTAAATATTTAACGTAATATGGAATACGTTGTTTGCTATGATGGTAAAATAAGAAAAATTTAGCCAGAATTTTTAGTCTTTTTTTTATGTTGAAACAACAGTCAAAACTCTCGCGCAAAATGAAGCATCTTGCACTCACTTGGAAATGACCTTCGCCAAACTGAGCTTTTTTAAGTATTTTAGCGTGTATGTCTACTGAAGTGATACTACAATTATTTCTCAAATGGTTTAGATCGTCCTACTTGTTTGGTACAAGTAAGTCGATGGCATCAAACGGCGGGCCATATAAGAGTGAACCGCTACGTTTCAGTGGTTGTACTAAAGAAACCTTTGACTATAGAGGACCTGGACTTAAAAACGTAGATAGATATTCGAGCAGCTGAGGCTGAACGGATTGGCAGTCGGTTTTTGCCTGTCCAGTACGTTTTATGTATTCTACTGTATTGATGATCTCTTTATTGTTAAAGATGCTCGCCTTTCTCTAGTACCTGTTCGCTAATTAATATTTGTTGTTGAACTTTGTTTTCTCTGTGTCGTTATGGAATAGATAAGCTACACACACACACATATATGCACAACAGTGCACTGCTGTTGTTATCGGTCTCCAGCGCATCTATGTATGCAACAAGTGCAGAAAAATTGTTGAAATTTTGAATAATTACACATGTTGAACTATGTCGTATGTTTTATAGCTTAGCATAGATAAATTTTCCGAACCGTAACAGGCAGTAAAACAGGGATGCCAATTTATGCGTAGCCGGAAATATTCTTCCTAAAACCTAACTTTTTTTTTCTAAATTAGGATTACCTGTTATTCATAGGAAACGCATAAGTCACCAAGGCAGTCTTTTTTTTTCATTTTTTATAGCTTTATAAACGCTCAAAAATATATCATCGCAAAGTGGTCTTTTACACCGAACTATCAAACATACAAGACAAACGTTGGATCGATAGAACTCAGTTAACGTAAAAGAAATGTCGTCCCAAAATGTCTACTTAGAGCTAGTTTCACAACAATTATATGGCAGACTCTGCGCGCTGTGCAAACGTTTTGATGAAAAACAGTCCGGTAAATTGCATTCAACTAGTAATGTTCGATGCGGGGAACTATTGAATAAAAACTATTATACTGGGATATTTATGTACTTGGCGTTCGCCTCTCACAGGTACAATGTCGTATGATACGTTTGCATATGTACATAAGCGGTTCCACTTGTATCTCAAGATCCGTCGAAACAAGCTATATTCATTAGAGACAAGTACTTTCACCTTTTCCCGTTATATCGATTTTATTTGCCAGTGAGGGTAAACAACGCGTCTAATTCCCCCAAACATCAGTTAATGTAGATCAGTGAGTTGCAATCGCCACCCAAAAAAAACTGGACCCACTGAACAAGACTCATTAAGCCTAAGTTTAGCCTAAATTAACGCAAAATTGCCTACCGCTTGTCCTAATTGTCGCATCAACAGCTAACCGCGGTACGTGGATCCGCGCGAACCCACTATATTGATGAGCCGAGATAGACCACTACGTCTGGTTACGTGCAACTGAATAGGTCATGCGTGTCTGGGGGGAGATTGTCGCTACTACTGCTACTACGAGTTCTAATATTAATCTCGCTGAATCATGGCCAACTGGCATTTCGCCGACGCGTAAGCCGCATATACAAGACTGATGTTTGTCCTCTGCGATAACTCACTGACACCGGCGGCAGAGTTGGCGTTTCTAAGCACACTCACCAGAGGGCGCCCTGTCTCTCTGATCTGGTCTATCTCTCGGTTTCCCGTGCGGAGATCGCTTCAGTCAGTAGGGCGGTAGGATGGCAGACAGGGCATGATGCTGCACCTGGTGCCGACTGATCTAGTTTCAGCGTCCAAGCGGCCAAGAATCGCAGCTGCGAAGTCTATTATCAACTGGCCCGTATGAAACCGTATTACTGCACTCGTGCTGCGTATGTTGCGGCACTCATATCATGGTACTGCTTAGCTGATTTCTGCTTGCCTACAACCCGAACCGATTAGCCAACCCTCTTCTTTATCGGTAAAGCCTCCGCAAGGTATACGATAGAGAAACAAAGCGTCGGAAGTTCGAAAGACCGGAGCAGACTTGTTGTATGTGCGTGTGTATCCGTAGTCAAGGCTTCGAGAGCTCACCAGCTGATCGTCATAACCACAGGACCGGCGTCGCGTCATATCGCGTCGTGTCGTACATTCCGCCCCAGTGTATAGTAGTTAGGACCATTTTATTGAAAATATACCTGCTCATCCAATGTATTTCAATCATGTCCCGTTACAACCCCTATGTAAAGTAAATACGGAAACATGCAAATCAGCGTGTAGTTGTTAGGGCGAAACAGAACCTTGTCCATGCTTCCCGTATGTAGAAATATTGCAAAATTGAATTCGGTATCAGAGTTCTATATACAACGTTAATGTGATGTGTGTCCGGAATCCCCGTATGTTCGATGTGCCTTGCAAAAACAACGTGAACACGTCATCCGCTGTGAGATTGTGTTGGCAATATATTTAGTGCTTCAAAACAACAAAGAAAAGCTGTGTCAGCTTTTCTATATATTTTTCTACAACGAATATCGTTATGAAATCGACAAGTATGTTGGATTAACAAGAACAAGATCCATTTGTAGGATCAACAGTTCCTTGGCTAGCTTGTTTGTTATTATAATCTGTCTTTGTTGCAGGTTGCGAGATTGTAGACCTGTGAAAATTATCACCAAGCTGGCTCTACTGATTGTCGTCGCTATACTTTGTCCATTTGTAATACAGCTATCACGCAAAAGTGTCGTTCAGGCGCCTGGCTCATAGATTGAGCTCATAGACTGAGTATTATTGAGCCTGACACTGATCAACCTGACTCGACCTGGCGGTGCTTGTTCAAGGAACCTTAACTGTCTAGGTAAATAACCTAAGCTCGAATTTTTGGGGTATGAACTGACGAAATATCTGCAGCTAGCAATCACTGTCCGAACAAGCAAACGGGGTATCGCCTTTTTGAGCAAACCACCGCCCACCCCTCAGGGTTGTCGTGTAGCCATCACTGCGGAGCCGTTCGGTCGTTTCCGATGCGCAGAGCCGTATCGGTAGCGTCTGTTGTCGTACTTGCCGACGACACGACACTCAGCGACTGGGAAGTGAGGCCAAACCGCACCCGACACGTAATGCTTGTCAGCGCCGTAACAGATGGGACAGAACGTGAAACAGGGCTCGCATTTGGATCGCGTAGCGTAATCATAGTCAGTGCTTGATATTATACAGTAGCAAAATCGGTTTTTTTTTGCGTGGCTGTGCATATACTGAGCATCTGTACGATTTGGCAACCACACAACAACAGTTTTAGTGGTACAACAGCGACAAGAAGCAGCTACAGCACTGGCAAGAGCTGAGACGAGCGTTAATGGTATGGCTACGAATGGTAGTAGTACTAGATTTAGATTCTGGTCTGGTAAGGGACACGCAAACACGTCTTGGTGACACGGTATCGATCAAATACGTTACGGCTATCGAGCGTAACTCCAACACAACACCAGAAATCGCCGCAACAGCAGTTGCCATTGGAAGAATTGCGATTGCCGGTTGTTATTAGTTAGCCGGTAGAAGTGTCGAGGGAATAGATTAACTTGAATGAAGCTAGCGTTGAGATTATGGAATGGGGTGATCTGTGCGACAGCGTTCTTAGCCGGCAAAACTAAACAGCAATATTGACAAACGCCATGATGAGAAACGATAAATCGCCGTAGAAAGAGAAGACAAGCCATCACCACAGTTTGACGTGTGCGGAAGTGTGAAAAACCTGAGCTGTGATGGAGATACGAAAACGGAAACGACGCCTACCGCTTCATAAATCAATCACCGAGGGTAAGCAGATAAAAACGTTTGTACAATGCACATACGGCAGTATAAGGATTCACTAGAATTATCTCTTGGGTTAAGAAACAAGACTGTCAGCAGTACGTGGAACATTATTCGAAATAACAACAACAACAACAACATGATAAAAATCTGCCTCGGTTTTTAGAAAGGCCTGTTTTGTTCAAGCATGCTCACCCGATGGACATATGGTAAACTATATTTATATAGTAGGACACTATTAATTGTTGGAAACAGAGTATACGTCGTCGGACAGTAACAAATCACATACTCTATATAGCGCATGCGTTAATTTCTTTGGTCGGCGTTATAATTGGCCGCCTAATTATGAGTAATTTCTGATCACTTTTTACATCTGCAGTAAACGACGGGCTATTCATTTTGTCAATCATGAGATTATCGAAGGGGCATCCCTGCCACCGACATGATCATTTAAGTGTGCAAAATTTATCGCAGATATGAGCGTTTACGTTTTAAATTAGTAGTCCCAAAGCCTTTCTTTTTGCTGTTTTCTTAGAAAATTGTTGCATGAAAGATACGATCTCGCATGAGCAGTTTCTGAATTGATCTGTGGCATCTTGATTTCGAACCAAGTGACTCGCAAAGAAGCAGTCTACAAACGGGGAAACCGAAGTTCCTAAAATGACAGTAACCATACAGTTTAAAACAAATATCGGCCTTGCAGAGGCTTTTAGGCAGCGCAGAATTGTTACAGGCTGCAATCATCGTCGTCGTAATATATTTATAGCTCTTAATTCGTGGCTTCATCGTACGAAACCTCATAGCACACGATAGGACAATGCGACGTTACGTTTTAATATACTGAAATAGTTGGAACTAGTCAAGCATTGTAGCAATATAATAATAACAATATCTTCCAAGTTGTGGCAGAACCTGGCACGTTTCCAATATTTCTATTCGTCCTATTCTAGCTCCAAAAACTATAGATCTAAGCGCCGTAGTACGTGGGCTCTAGACACGACCACGACGTTACTCCTACAAGTTAGTTTCATCGATGGTGTATTGACATTCAGGCAGGAGCTTGTTAAATGAAGCGAAAGTTGCTGTTTTCAGCACTTATATCCCCCCCCCCTCCCCCCCCAGCACCGAACTGGCAAACAGAACCTTGAGGCTTTTCCTCAAATAGATCAACCGCCTGAATGTGACTTTGACCCCTCAGTCAACTATGCTATACGCAACAAGGGATAATGCGCATAGGAAGCGACAGAGTAAATATCGTCTGTCCAGCTATATTAAATCGTCCGAAGTAAAAAGGTTTTCCAGTCCCTACAGCCAGTTGAGACATGAGTACTTACAATCAAACTTACTTAACTAATCGTTAATATAAAACAGCAAATAATAAAGCTCTTTATTTAAGGGGCACTTTATCTCTGGAGGAGATTTGGAGTCTCCTCCTTAAATGTTCAATGTGAGGTCATGAGAGGCGAATAGGTCTAACATCAAAAACAGGCTACAGCAGCAGCGTCTATTGCAAGAGGGTCCTTTCAGATACACTATTTAGGAGCGTTCTTCGTCATTTCGTCGTTTCTTAGCGTCAAACAAATGTGACCTTGGATACTATAACAAGTTGCCTTTGAAATAAGTGCCAACTATTTTCAAACTTTCGTCAGCGTCTACTGAACAGCCGTAAATAACAACTGCTGTAGTTGTAATTAACAAGTGAAATATATACATTGAAGTAAGCCCGTCAGCATCTACAGACTGGAGCAAACCTATCTTCCCATATGCCTACCCCTTGATTTTGGTCAATTTTTACGTCTCGACGTGCCGAAGCTGGATTTTTTAAAGCCATGGCGACAAACGTGCAAATCATCTATTGGCTCAGCTTACTAAAGTATAAACATTTCAAGAACATTTTACTCATATTGGCTCAGTGTAATGTACACGACATAAATGACAGTTGCTTAGAAAGGTGGGGGTCGAAAATTAGATGCGTATGTTTGAAATGATATCTATACTTTAATAACGGCTGACATGAGTACAGCCAGCTTGGTGAACATCAATAATGAAATAGGAACTCCTTCGCTATATTCCGATATAATGGGCCTTCTTCCATTAAAAACAGGCACTTCGTATGTTAGACCCTAGATTTTTTTCAAATAGAGATTCGCTTAAGGCTAGCTGTATCCAAACATGCGAATGTTTGTACGGTTGACTCTTCGCGTCCGCGCATCTATAGACGCTTCTCTGCATAACAGGTACGTGACATGACTGTTGTGTACTGTTGTTATACGGTTTTAAAAAGTAAAAAGTCTTGCTGTCCTCGGGAGATTTTTTCCTATGAAACAAACAGCTAGGGATTCGCTATAAGCAGAGACATACATAATCTTCCTCGTTTCAAGCCTGAGGCTTGTGCCGTCGACAGCATCGTTTAAACGGCCAAGCCCGGGGCTGAAAGCAACCCAGCGTCGCTACTTCAGCTTCCGGCAACGATATGAAATAAAGTAATTTATTTTTATTTGCTCCTAAAATTATTCCTGCTGACGGTCATTGAAGAAAAACCGGGCAAAGAATCTGGATATTGTTTCTTTTTAGCTAGACCTATCGGTTTGGAATAGTTTTGTTTCCGGTGGGATGCCATGTCACGCTAGAATTCGAAACGATATTTAATAATAACTAAAACAGAGCACCAAGCAGACGGTACTTTAGCTATCACTTGCTCTAAAAAGATCTTATTTACTGCGTGGGCATGTAAGACATACGTACTTATACATTCTTTGTTCAAGGAACGTCCACGGTTTTGTTAACTGATGGCCTGGCTACCTTGCCTGGCCGACTCTTCGGCAGTATGAGTTGGGCACTGGCAATATAGCTCTTCGAAAGTTCAGACTGTTACTCTAACCTCTGCATAAATGTGTTGTTACTCAGCTTACTCTCTGTGAATTCGAGCAATAAGAGGTAGAAAAGCACTATTGAGTTATTTTCAGTCGGTAAAATTGACTCAGTGGCGTGTACTTGTTCACGGTTTGTACCAGCTTCGGCAGCGACGCGCGCTCGCCATGTAGCACATATAGATCCCTAGAGGTTCAGAATTAAGAAGCCTGATCAAGGTTAAATGTGGGTTTCTATGGTCAACATATTTTTCCCAGAACCAGTGGAATAACGGTAACGGAGATGACACAAGTTAACAGAATATCTTTTTTTCCATATAACAAACTCGGTTAGTAGGAACCGGTATTAGCAAGGGAGCATTCATTCCTGTAGCAGATAGAGACTTCACGAGCAATCGTCGACCGATTGACTTTGCGGCTATGGACACGTCCTGGCGGTAATGTAGGTTATTCTTACTTGTGCAATGTAAATTCCCTTAGGCAGAGAGTAACAGATATAAAGTAAGGTAATTTAGTCTCGAAATTATCTGACATTTAAAAAGAACGAGTATCTGATTGACAGATTTTCCAAGAAACAAAAAAAAAACAACAACAACAACAACAGAACAGCATACAGAATGGCTGATTTAGTGTACATTATATTAAGCGCGAAATGTTCAATGAAACATAAAAGCGAGGTTAACGAGCTCTATTTTTTTTTCCGCTAGTGCACTTATGTGTGTTCTCTATTCGCGTAAGTATTTGATTTGCCCTCGTAAATGGGCTTTAATCAACCGTAATGAATCTCTAGATGAATAGATTTGAAAACGTGGCGAGAGATACGCTCTCTATATACAATATGCCATGAAGTCTGCACGCAAAGGTTCAGTATTGTCATCGTTCTTTTCCTGTAGCATTATTAAACTTCCGGTTAGTCTTCAAAGACGCACATTCAAATAAGCAATTATCGATGAAGCTCGTAAATAGACCTAGAGAGAAGAACAAAACGGCATTGAGCACTTTTAGTATTCGTTGTTGTTCAATGGCCGGTGTTTTTTCTGTAAGAAGGCCCTTTCAATTCATCTCAACACTTTGCTTTTTCTGTTTATTTCAACAAGTCGTTTCGGTTCTTTTGTTGGATCACTTTAGTATACAATTTTGTGTTACTGCAAGTTACTGTTACATGACAACAGCAGCAGCAGGTACAACCGTTGTAGCTACGACCATTACAGTTACTATTGAAGTTTGCGGTCGCGGCCGCCGCCGCCGCCGCCGCCAACGCCAACGTTACTATTGGTTGACCATGCCGACTCTATAAATGATTAGTTATCCGTCCACCGTTTCAGACGACGACGACGACGACGACGGATCTATCTGACTGGTTGGTTACGTATGGCTGATCACAAATCCAGAAGCGAGTTAACCCGCTGAAGCAATATACATATCTTATATGTTTATCATATAAATATTGATATCAGGAGGTCTGTATTTTATCGTTTGTTTTATCAGTACTTAATTGAGTTGCTGATTGCATATCTAGTTCAGTCTACGGCCTACGTTGATGGCTTTCGCTACTGGAAATTTCATGTCATCTGCCGTTATCTTTACAAGCCACCAATAGTTTGATTTCCTTGAATACAATGAAAGCGAGACACGATGAAGCTAGGGTCGATAGTGGCGGTAAACATGGCGAACTTTTTTTGGCTAGCTTTTTTGGCTAACTGCCTGTTCAATAGAAGAAATAATTTAAGAACACTATCCCCGTAGAAAGAACAGCGTTCCTAAAGAGATCCAGTCGTTTTCAATGCAGGTGTGTTTTCCAGCGGTGGATAAAACAATGTTCGGCTAGCTGTTCGAATATGTGAATTTAAACAGTTTCCAGAGATTGATGGCTAAGTATTTCAACATGGCTATCTCACACAGACAGAAAGATAGGCACAGATAAAGCCGAGAATAGGTATCGACCGAATATCTCGGTAGCAGCTGATATAGAACTTTCCACTGCAGAAATTCAAGTTTTGACCTTATAAACGCTGTGAGCATTGTTGTCAAATAATTGCCGCGTGCAGCAAGTAAGTAATAAAAACAACAACAATAACTTGTTTATGTGTAGGCGAGGACGTTAAAGAACATATGCTATGGTGTCCAGGCCATCTTGAAGCCTATAGATGAGTCTTCACGCATAAGTATGATGATTATCATCGCAACAGGCTCTGCTCTTCGTAGATATAGAAATAAGCCTTTGTAACAAATACCTTCTTGTTTCAAAGGGACAACTATGCCTTTCGAAGTGAATATCCGAGCAGCCACGCTAACCTATACATTTCGAGTTTCAAGTCCAGTGTCGCCGTTAGCGGTTTCATTAGATATACGCCTGGCTTCTGCGAGCACGAAAGGAATCGTGTGTCTGTCTATGGCCGGGTTCGAACCTAAAACACAACGTTACCCCTCCTTCATGCGTCAAAAGTATGAAGAAATCATCGAACCTGGTAGTCGCCTTTGGATCTTGTTTCAATAGTCGAGCATTATCAAAATTTTGAAATTGTTAACACGATCCTGGTGTAACCCGTCCACCATCGGTAGGATGATTAGACGGCCTGCACATGGCCAAAACTTTGAGATCTGCTTATTTCGTTAACTGCCGATAGGAGTTCGGGATGTTTAAGGCTTTGCTTAAAGGCTTGTCAATTTGCTGTGGAGCTCGAATAGCGGACTGACATTTCGTCTGTAATTCAACATGTGAACTTTGAGTGGATATGCCCAAACATTCCATAACGATCCATACTCATACGAAAATAGAATGGGTCTATGATTCGTTGAGAATATCATTAAGCAAAAAGGAGATGGATATATTTCTCGGGAAGGCTACAAAAACTTTAACCAGCAAAAATAAGATGTACGTTGTGGTAATCAACAGAGAAGACAATTTTTTTTTCAGATATAAATGGCGCTTTCCGTTTTCCTGTGTACTCAAGGGCATTTTCTTGTGGGATACATCAAACAAGGAGATCGTTGAAATTATTTTGTTTGACAACAGTAACCGGGCTCGGAAGATGCTTAGGAACATCTATATAGAGTAAATTTGATCGAAACAGTAAAAAAAAAAAAAAAAATAATAGAAATTAAGTGTTTTACTCCACAGTAATGCTAATGTTGGTAGTCTTAGGTTAAGTAGAATAACCACCCTCGTACGGAGAATGTTATTAAAAGTAGTCAAAACCAGAGTGTGTTTTCCTAGATTACTAAAAATGACATGTACTAGTTAAACATTCACACACATAGTTGCTCTCGTGTACGGGATATCACGGCATCTAATAATTTTCAGACTGGGGGTACCTGAAAATGTTTTCCTTTCTATTTACCTCGTCCAAATATACCATGCCACTAAACGAGTGTATCGCTTTGAAGGAGAAACGTTTTCGTGCTACGTCCTTTAAACATAAACCAGTAAAGTCATAAACAGATGTTTTGACTGTGTTATAAAATAACCACCATTCTACTTTGTTAGGACGGCTTAAAAAAGCTAGATGGAGAAATACTTTTCTATATAAGTACTATTAATTTCCTAGTCTGACGAAATTTAGAAAGCGTTCAAAATGTGTAATATGTTGCAAACGACTTATTCAAATATCTGAGCTACCACAATTAAAACATTAGGACATTTATGCTCAAGTAGTTCCTGTAGAGCTATGCCTATGACTTACTGAAATGATGTCTCTATGACAGCTATTGCATTTGCGTGGCGGGGGTCGACTGCGACCTTTAGGGGGAGAACTTCTACGTGTTTTTGGACCCTTGTTGGTCCCATTCGCCTGCTTCGATTCTGTTTATTTTTTGTCAAGAGGTTCCACTAAGTAAGCCAGGTTTACCCAAAGCTAATGGGGCTTATACGCTGCCTATCTCTAAAGCGAGTACTTTTAATATTTCGCTTTCCTTGCCCGAATGGCCACCGGTCCTGGGTGACTACTGCAGAAGCTTACGCGGCCAGAATTTCATAGCAGTGACGTTCGAAACCAGTATCTGTTTGTTTTCGAAGGAGAAAAGCGTTTGCCCAATTGGTCGCTGCCCGCAGTATTAGGACAGCGCCATAGGTTTCTCTACGTAAAAGGTATAGGCAAATTACCTAACCTTTACGAACGCAAAACCGATAGAACTCTGTGCCTAAAAGCATACATAGAAAAAAAAGTTGGCACACCAATGGAGGGTGATCAAGAATATTAAACTAGTTTGATATAGGAAAATAGCGTCTATGTAACAAAACCTCTACAATTTTTGTGTTGAATGACATATAAGTTTTGTATCGCGGAAATTGTGCATCGTCTTTACCTAGTTAGTGAAGCTGGAAGCAGGAAAGTCCGCCTTCGCCAATGCTAATCGAACGAAAGGATGGCTGCCTTGCTGGATTTCCTGAATAATCGATTCACTTCTTAGGCCACAAAGCCTTATATCCACAACGCCAACATCCGGCTTCTTTGACAGGGCAAGGAATTTTCTACCTTGGCCAATGGGAGAAGCAGGAAAATACTGTACATTGCGTTAACTGTATGGGTAATCATTTGTTTACCTGATTACATTATCTAGGTGACGATTCTGCTGTTAAACCGTATAGTGCTAACATTGTAACTGGAGGTGTGTCATATTGTCCTGACATATATTCAATAAGTACACGCGTTATACGTGCGCGTGCTTATCGTATTAAATACAGACAAAGTGCCAAACAGGCGATCGTTCTGGAACATTAATGAGGCGCATAAAAACAGGACGCAAAACTAGTAAAAATTAGCATTAGACAACGCACGAACGATTAATATTATCGGTGCATGTTTCCTTGTACTAGAAATATGAAATAAGTTTGGTAGCGTGAACACCTAATAGTTATTTCCGTTATGGTCGCAAAACAAAAATCGTGGGCAACGTCAGCAAAACATGCTATGTGGATCTATCGTATCCCGAGTCAGAAACTTACATTAGAGTGAGCCTTTTGCCGCTGTGTGCTTCTGAAACAAACCTATATTTTCTATTCTACTATTTTGTTCCACTTCATCATCTATCTCTCCGTAATATCTCAGAGAATACATTTCTAACCAAGGTGTTTTTCACAGCGGGTCGCCTTATAGGTCGTCGGCTGGCCGTCTCAAAACAGCTGTTCCAAGAGTCGGGTCCGCGATTCCTGGAAAACTTCTGGAATCGCAGTCACAGCTCGCAAGCTGAATGTGACGTCGTACTAACGTTACCTTCGTCAACGGATCGAATCCTTATTGAGTGGTTGCTTAACACGTTTCAGAAGCGATTACCACAGCTTAAAGTTCACCTCACGCACCACCGCTTCTCAAAGTTCATCATGCTTATCTGTACCGCCGATATGCCAGAGTAAGTTTGGCCTAAAGCAAGTTCTTTTTTAAAAGAACGAGAACGTTATCTTTTAGCTTTGCTATAGATGTGGTTATAAAGGGAAAGAAGTTTGAGAGGAGGGCATAACACCCACTGTATGTTATCACTTTATGCAGCCCCCGAACATTATACAGGAATGCCAAGCAACACGCGTATCTAACAAAGTGGCTTTCGAACCCTACAATTATAATAGTCCTAACGTTAAAAACTCTTGCTGTAATTAACACTGTTAGCTATCCGTCTTCTAAGCCAATGTAATACGGCTTTAAGGTAGCCCGTAAAACCTTACTAAATCTTACTAAATGGACAAGAAAAGATCAGATCGTAATTGATGAATGGAGTATTTTTTTTTGAAAGTCTGTGCTATTGATGTTGTATATATTGTATATATAGTATGAACCACTTGCACCTAAAAGAAACTAGTCTTACACCTTATTATTTTTATTACAAACAGGGTGTTTCCAGACGCTTGAGAAAAAATTTTCCACTCGCTATTTGTAATCAAACGAGTCTGAACAGTGTAAATGTATTAGGAGCCGAGATAAATTATATTAAATTAAACAAACGTTTTTAAGAAAAAAACGTTTGTTTAATTTACGAAAAAAGACCTACCCATTTAAGGTATAATCGATATTGAAATGAAGAACCACTATAACACTAATCTACGACGAACTATTGAGATATATTCTTGTGACAAATAAACGAACGTCCATTTTGCGGGCGGTTAAACTCGCAAATGTTTTTGTTTATATTTTTAGTCCACTATTAATAAAGTGTACGAAAATAAGCTGAGCTAAATAATGGTAAAATACGTTTTTGGAGCACGACATCATACATAAAATAATTTCGAACTATTTATCTTGTACTGTATAAGACTACTTCTAGCGCACAGCCCTGGCTTTCGACGAAAACAGTAAGCATCGGTTTTACTTGCCGATATTAGATAACAAGGTTGACCGGTCGTTCATTTGTCTATTGCAGATTATTGAAAGGGGCTGAGCAACTTCACATGCGCAAGAAGGTGAAGCCCGAATTTGGGGGTGGATTTAAGGAGTTCTGCTGCGACGACCCATACGGGATATGGGAAGAACAGGACGTTGATCGTTTCTTAAGCACACAGGAGCGCCAAGAGATAATTATGTTCTATATTAACTCCATGAGAACTGAAGCCAGAGATACCGTTCGAGGAAAACTTCTATTGGAAGGCCAGTCGCTCAGTAAGCAGACAGTAACCAATGTGCTATGTTGAAGAACTTTCAAAGGGCAAACGTAACTCATACATAACTCTGCTCTGAAACAGAATAGCCCTTAGCAGTATTTTTGAGCGTCGTGATAGAGCCGCTTTTTTATACGACGAAGTTCAACATTGAGTACTTTACATTTGTCCATTTTGCTCATGAAGCGCCATAAGAATCGAGCGTGATTCGCCGATTTTACGGCAACTCTGTTTGCCCCCGAAGTGCAAAAAATGACGAAATGTATAGGTACAAATTTAGTTACGCTTCATGAGCTGTAAAAAAGCGTTGTTGATGTATCGCCTTTTATCTATGATCATGGCTAAGTACGTTTGTCTATACCTTTGAATATAATATGTCTGTAGTGATTCAATCAAATCTATGATAGGAAATTCGAATTGACATAAGGTGCAAGTTCAATATTAAGTACTGGTTTATTGTTCTTCGCGTATTTAGAAATCGTATTGAATAATTATGCCGTTTGACATCTGAAATTGTGTCTGTATGGCATCGTTGTTGTTTGCCACCTACAAGGGTGCTTTGTTTTAAATAACGTTGAAATATAGGAGTTATACGAAAAGGTGCTTTTTTTTTGTTATAGTCAGCAAAATTTACGTTATATTGTAAACAACTGAACACTTTTTATTATGCATTACGTTGTAATTCGACGATTCATTTATAAACCGCATAGACCCAAGGGTGAATACACCTATTCGCCACAGGGGGCTTATTCGAAAATATTCTTATTATATATAATGTTCCGGCGCATGCTACTTATAATTTTTTTTGTGTTTATCGTATCTACCAGTTCAACGTCTACGGAAAGAACGCATTATTGATCAAATTTACCCCCTGCACGAGGAGGAGCCGTTGCGGCAACTGAAAAGATCCTGGGTAAACCAGTTCTTTTCGAGGCAGCCTCTTGATGACATCGCCGCGTACTTTGGAGTGAAGATCGCTACGTACTTTGGTTGGCTAGGCCACTACACAGTAGCCTTGTTCTTCCCTGCTTTTGTTGGCCTGTGCATATGGATCTGTTGCTACGGGAAAGACCAGGTATATATATGGCAAATCGAACCCATATGGTTCTTATGTGCCTGTTGATGAAAAAATATAACCTTTGTAGCACCTTTTTATCACTAGCTTCACCATCGTTATTATCGTATTCCTCGTTGCAGAGACGTGAGGATCTATGCTTTATATTATTCGCCTTACTAAATATCGTGTGGGCAACATTGTTTTTGGAATCATGGAAAAGAACCTCATCGGAACTGGCCCACCGTTGGGGTACATTGGATTCTTCTAGCGAGATGCTAAACGAACCTCGCCCTCTGTTCAAGGTGAGAATGCAATTATCAAGGTGGCTCGTAATCACATCTCTCCATAGAGCATGCTCTCTTTAATTTGATCATATGATCATGTGTAACGGCTTTATCACCCTCCGTTAAGCAGCGACTTAAACGAACTAACCTGATGTTTAGATTTTAGCTGATATTCCCGGGAGCTCTGACATTCAAAAGTCTTTCAAATTTCGACTCCGATCGTATCCAGGGTTAACGGGGTAGTGATTACTGGTAATATACCCTAGCACTCGGAGGTCTCTGAGATATTTCGAGGACCATGAGTTTCATTTCAATGTGTATGAGCTAGTAAGTTACCACTTACACCCAACAGAAATATATATATATATATATATGAAGAATGTGTTGATCAATGGAAGTTTGTGTCACCTTACATAACAATGAAATGAGCAGCAAACAATTATTTGTAAAATTTTTTTGAAGAAAAAATGGAACAATAAAAACTGCATTATAATATGTACTATGAAAAAAACTTAACATGAGAATCAGCTAATGCTCTCATGCACGAGTGGCACTAACATGAGTACGTTTAACGCTTCCACCTATGGAAACGCCGTATGTAAAATAACGCATCCATTACCTCGTCATCCGTGAAATTTTCCCACAGGGTTAGAACCTGCGTTTACTTATGTGAAATTAAAGATCAGTGTTTCAATTGGGCAAAGATAAACTAGCAGATCTAGCAAATCTACGTAAGAGCTTCCTTTTCTTTTTTTTAGTAAATTCAGTTGATGTATTTATGCAACATCGCATTTATTAGTCGATCTTCTAGAGCAGAGAGATTATCCAAAAAAAAAAAACTTTACGTTGGTCTTAACGTGTTAACACTGACGCGCAAAAGGCACAGAAAACAAAGGTCTTCCTATTGAAACCTAATGCATTTGCTAACCAATCCATAAACATTGAAGCGCATCTGCAATATTCTCCTTAAGCTGTGTGTCTCGTAACATATATGAACGTATTTTGGAATAAATAATAACTTCTAAAGTTATTTACACATTATTTTCGTGTTTCATGCAGTTTGTGCTGAGAACTATAACAGAATTTGTTTTTATACCAAAAAACAGCATGTACGAATTTGTTATACGAATTCGCCAGTCACAGAGAGAAAATGTGCCATCTTGTTGCCTGTGAGTGACACTCGTCAAAATGAAACGTTATCCACAAGGCAAACTGGGGACTTCTTTCGACCCAGCAGCCACGTACAGATTCTCTGATGGAAAACTTAGCTTAGTTTAACAGGATAAGTTGCTCATATTTTCGCAACATGCATACCGTTTAAATATGAAATGCAATAGTTAGTGGAGTATATCCACAAAACGGACCCATTTTTTGTTAGTACACCTGTTGCTTGAAATAGTTCTGGTAATTCTCGAAGGGCTCTGTGCAGTATAGAGAAAGTACGTTTCGACGGTATGCCTCGCCTCAAAAAATCAATATACTTCGATTCTGAATTGAAGTATACTGATTGAGAAAAACGTTATTTTTCGGTTATAATTATATCAGTACACGTTTAAATGTGCTTAATGGTGAATTAAAGTGCTTTCTGCTTGTTGGCCTTAAGCACTATATCTCACCCTAATATACCTAGAGAATAATCCCGAGTCCTATATGATGCTGTTAAAGAGATCAATGTTTTGAATCACAGAAAATTAGATTTGTTCCTACTTATTTCTAAAATTATCTAAATAGTCGATTTTCTGTGTCATGTGGTGATGCACGAAGTATATGGCTTCTGACTTTTGATTATAGAAACAACATTGAATGGTAAAGTAATTACAACCATAAGAGAAGACCGATTTCTAGCTACGTTACGAACGAGTAGCTGCTGAAGGCAGAAACTATAACAACTCCGTGGGATCCCTTTTCGATTTTCTGCGAAACAGTTTTAGGTTGACATTATTTTAATGCATAATTGTTCTTGACAGAGAACGAGTCAACGCTGTTCTTTAATTGTGCAGAACCGCAAGTTTCTTGCCTGCCTTATTGTATATGCCATTGGCAATTGTCATAATCGTGTTATAATTGAGTTTGCAGAACTAGGTGAAGATTAAGAAGCCTATTCTGTGATGATCACGTACTAAGCCATTGAACGCTATGACAAACTTTGAGATTTCGGCGCTGTTACGTATATTTCATAGTGAGATGCACCTAACTAACCAACAAATCGGTTTGTTGTTCCATCGTAGCCTTGAAGCTCAACAAAGTAACACGTGTTACGCCTTTTGTAGCACACGGACAAAACGGCGATAGTTAAATGCTCTGCTTTAGAGGCTTGAAGATAGGTGAGGCTACACAAATGAAAGTAGTCCTTCTCCTCCCGCTTGTACTAGTCTATTATGTAATTTCTTTATTTAAATGTGTGCCAGCAATTATTGACGCTAAACCATTTTCAAACGTCCCAGTGAAATGTTGTAACTACGCCTTTAGTCATCCGTTCGAAATTATGCAGAAGACATCCAAAAGACCTGCGTCAATATCTAGCTCCAGTACGAAACGTAGATCTAGTGCTTTATTTTTCCTGGCAAGCTAAATGTGGCCAATTACGATGAAGTGGTCTGTTTTTACTTTCTTTTGAAATCACGATCAGAGTGCCTTGTATACAAATATTTTAAAATTACTTAGCATTATTCATTTCTCTCCATTTTTATCTTAGAGTCGGCATACAATCATGTGTTCGATAAAAGACAGAGATTCTCTTTTTTTTTTTTTATTTATTTATTTAATTTTTTTTACAATTTAAGAGTCATAACCGTGGTCGGATGTCACTAAAATCGAAAAATCATCACTTGGTACGTGTCTTTAACCGCCGCCATGAATCGTGCTATGTATGTTATGCTTCTGGGCTGAAGTCGTATCGAACTTCACTTCGTCCGTTACAGAACGTGCTTTTTATAGCAACAAACAACAACAATCGAATATGGCTTTGAGCTTTTATTTAATTTCTTACGATCGTTTTTAATATCAAAATAAAGAGAATTTTAATTGCATATTATGGATAAGCTGTATGTCAAACTTGAACAAAAATTAACAATACTCTGTTTCTGATAGCTTTTTAAATAGTAAAAATATTGTCAATGCCCGTATTTTGTATACACTAGATATGTTGCTACGATCCTTATTATCTATTATATATTAGATTGGACAAAGTTAAATAAGAAAATGCCCACTGTATATTTCAAGGTTGGCTTTTAGCAAATAGAAAAAATACTGGGCAAAAAGAGGCCATGGAAGCAAACTGTCGATGCTGAAATATATGTGCAACATTGAAAAACTATCAAAGCAGCTTCTTCTTGATTTTGAAATCCAATTATTGATAAAAAAAAAAAAACGTCACTGTCGGATTACTTTGAATGGAACTCCATTCGGCCTTGACCTTATGACGACTACTAGATCTACTAGATTATTTTTACTACGCATATTGTTATTTTCGACTGTACACAGTTGCTAGCCTAGTACACCTATCGCATCATTTTTATAATAACTTATTACCACCGAGATTATCAAACGCCATTTTTAGGTACATCCTCTACCGCATTTTTTTCCATCATGAAATACAAGAAGGCCACTACTAACGTATCAAGCTTAGATGGCGGCAAATCTATAGCTGATGCCGCTGAGTTAGATCAAACCTATTGGATTTCTAGTTCTACATAGCATAATTAGCTGAATTCATAACATTACTGAACTTGCCGGTCAATAGAGAATTTCTTTTATCGGCTTTTAGCTGATTCAATTCCAAGGTTATGACTGAAGACGGTAGCTTTTGACAATGGCGGAATATGAGCCCCGCTGAAACATAAACAAGCTGAATTTTGCCAGCATGTAAACTCAAATCGAGGACTTAGCTGCTGCATTGGCCCGGTACGTGCTGCACATGTGTTTGAAAATTCAGTTATCGTGAATGCCAAAAGTAACCTAAATTAATAAGGAACTCGTGCCAACAATGACTGCAATATGTTTCTCTTTCCATACACCTAAAGTCTCATCTGAACCCTTTTTGTTTAACTCCTAAGTAAATCCAACGGGAGACAATTCTAAGCGAAAAATGACTGCACTAATGTTTATCTTTCATTATAGGTCTCGGCTTGTACAGTATCGTATATTCGATCTGTGTCGCTGGTGTCGCCTTCTCCCTCTCTCCCTCCCTTTGCACGCCTGTTTTTGTGTTTGCCTTTAAAAATTTCGACGTTGCAGCCCATGCTTTATATCAGTTAGTTGAGAATTTTACTTTGCATATGGCTGTATGCTTATCTACGTGTGATTATCTCCTTGTCTATGTGATTCATACTGAAACGATAAATTTGACAGAGCTTCTGTTGGGCTGTGTGACCACACATTCGGTGTTGCCTATTGTTCGGTACACCCTTGTGTACGTCAAATGCTTGCGTTTCTGTGTGTAATGGTTTCTCCGTTGTCGTCGTCGTCGTCGTCGTCGTTGTTGTTCCCCGTGGCTTCTCGCCCTTTCCCGCCGTTGACCCAGATCTTTTCGTCTGTGGTCGCCGCCACCGCCATCGCCATCGCGTCCGGTGTTGGCTGTGACTGTTGCAGCGCTGTGCTGTGCAATCATCAGAGGCCGCGGCGTTTTTCCCGTTCTGTTATTCTCGTTGTCCTCGTCGTCGTCGTCGTCGTCGTCGTCGTCGTCCTCGTCGTCGTCGTCGTCGCCGTTGCTATTGTTGTTGTTGATGTGGCAGTTGCTACTAACGAATGAAAAGCACGGAAGCTCTGAAGGAGGAAGACGAGAAAAAATCGAGTCTGAGCAGCTGATGGCGATGTGGCGAAGCACATATACAGAGACACGTAACCATATACTACTGAAAAGATGGGAATCGCCTGCTTTGTTGTTGCTTCTGCCGCTGCCGTCGTCGACGCCGCCGCCGCCGCGGTTGATACTTTTATTGCCCTTGCTACTACATCCAGTACAGCTGATGCTGAAGGCTGATGCTGCTGTCATTGGTCGTGAGATTTTTCGTAGCATA